TTGGCAGCAAGAGGTCTTGGGCCAGACCTGTGCACTGATAGGTATCCCATAAAATCTAGTAGCCATATATCATTTTTGCTTCCCCTTCTTCCTCCAGTGACCTCTTGTTTGAGTATGTGCAAGTGGGAGGAAGATCATCCTGATGCATAAGAAGAATCAGGGACAGCTGCTGGGATAAATGATTGTCAGGATGGGAGTTTCATTCCTTTCTCCATGGAGCCAGTAGTCACCTCTTCTTCCACTGGCATGTATAGCAGAATGCAGCTTATCCAGCGCTGCTGTAACCTTTCACCTGTCTTTAGATTTATAAGACAGTTTCAGTTTTGGAATTATTGCAGACAAATTGCATCAGCTTAAAGCCATCTGAAGGCTGGTTGTTAATCACAGGAATATAAAGATGCCATATAGACTAACTAGAACATTAATTCAGTGCAGGAGAATGCTGACTTACAGCTTTCCGATGCTTGCTGACTTCCACAGATAAGGGATTCCTGTTAAGAGAGTTCATGAGCAAGTCCACCATACAAGAATCGAGAAAATTGCCAATCTGAGCCATTCATTCTACAACACTTTTCAAGCAACGTTTTCTTAAAAACAGCTTTCTTTAAGCCAAGCCAGTCCTCTTTGTGCGGGAGTTTTTGTATACCCACCAACAATAATTATTAATCCTTTGTTGGCAGCAATGATTAATCCCTTGTTGTCCCACTTCTTCAGTTGCTTCAGTTTCTCTTTCCTTCTCCCACTTTCTCGTTTTGTGTTCAGCTTACTTCAACAGTTGCAAACTGTGGACATGTCTATATGGGATGTATAAACCAGTTTCCTCCCATCATCATGTTGGTCTGTTTTTACGACACAATGCCAGAGCCCCAATTTGACTGTGGAGTGTCTTTATGACATGAGGGCAGTTCCAACTCAAATCTGGGCCATCCCTGTCTTAAACCAGTTTAAAATATCTTATGAAATAACTGAGGAGTAAAACCAGATGGCTGTTAACATATATGTCCTGCTGTGCCATCTGGTGCCACTGCTGCCACTGCCACAACTCCCTCTCTCTGAGATTATGAGGTGTCTCACCATGGGATTGACCTTGGGCACCTCATTTTTGATGTCAGAGGGAACTACTTGCATCAGCATCAGAAACATCATGGCTCAGTTGCCCAGCATTGCTCTGGAATATGGAGGTAGCAGGAGGAAATTAGGGCAAAATACTCCAAGAGTAGCCCAATATATTCTGGCCAGTGTAGACTCACCCTGTGTTGAACACGCAAAGGGAGTTTGTGTTTAGTTCAGCAGGAGGGAGATGAGAGGAAAGATAAGAAGCTTGCCCTTCCCAGTTGGCTCAGGCAAAAGTAAACTGCTGCAACATCTCCTAGCTTGTCTATTCTTTCTCAATAATAAGTTTTGCCATTTTGACCACACTCTGATGTTGCTTGACCACATATATCCTGGTTTTTACCTGTGAAATAGTGGGTGTTGATAAAGTTCTGACCTAGTTGGATTTCCATTGAAAGGAGCAGACTAGAAGCTTTTGTTGCTGTCATTTGCTGTCAAGTTGGCTTATCATGATGGCAGCATGAATGGGAGAACTCCAGAGCTCTGATCATCAAGAGTCCTGCCCAAGTCTTGCAAATTCAAGGCTGTGACCATTTTTTTTTGTTATTCTTTCAATCCCCCTGTAATGTGGACTTCCTACTATCTTCTGTTATTATCTTTTCCAATGAGCCACAATGAGATGTCCTAAGTATAATAGCCTTAATTTAGGGGGGTTGCAGACTGCCAAAAATAGTGCAAATTGAGTCCACTTTTAGGGTTAGGGTTAGGGTTAGGGAATCATGGGAACTGTATTTTATTGTGGCACCAGAGCTCTCTGACAGAGAAGGGTCAATGTCTCAGAAAAAAAACCAGTTCCCATGATTCCCTAGCACTAACCCTAACCCTAAAAATGGACTCAATTTGCACTATTTCTGGCAGTCTGCAACCCCCCTTAGTCATCTTTACTTCCTCTTTTTCTACTGCCTTCTACCTAGCATTATTGTCTTTTCTAATGAGTCATGCCTTCTCATGATGTGGCCAAAGTATGGCAACCTCAACTTGATCATCTTGGCTTCCAGGGAGATTTCAAGCTTGATCTGTTCATGACCTCATTTGTTTGTCCTTTTGGCTGTCCATGGTATCCTAAGCACTCTTCTTCAGCACCACATTTCAAATTAATTAATTTTCTCCTTATCCGCTTTCTTCACTGTCCAGCTTTCACAACCGTACATGGTGATGGGGAATACAATGGCTTGTATGATTCTGACTTTAGTGCTCAGTTGTATGTCTTTGCTCTTTGGGATCTTGTCTAATTCTTTCATGGTTGCACTTCCCATTTCTAGTATTCTTTTGATTACTTCACTTCAGTCTCCTTTTTGATCAATGTTTAATCCAAGGTATACTTGGATTGAGCCAAGATTTGCTAGGGCCCATTCATTTGTCTTTTTTGGAGGCTTATTGTGTTCCATAACATTTTATTTACAAATATGTGAGCTGAGCATAGATGGAGGGCAAGCTGCTCTAACACTCTAGTAGCAAATTCCAGAGCAGTCTATGCAATTCTGGCACAATTATTCCACTTTAATTTTCATGATTCCATCCTATAGATGGAATTTGCTACTTAGGGAGGTTAATATAGAACTCTGAAGCCAGAGAGTTCCTCTAGTCTAGTGCCTCACCAAACTACAGAGCCCAAGATTGCATAGGATGGAGCGACTGCAGTTAAGGTGGAATAGCAGCATTATAATTCTGCGGTGTGAAAGGGCTCCCAAGTCTCCAGAGAGAAACAGAAAAAATTTCCTCCTCAGTATACCTAGCTAAAATCTCATCTCAGATCTCTCTGTGTGTCTCTCTGACTCAAAACTGACATTTCTATTTCACTAGATGGGAAAATAGAGCCAGTGTGGTGTAATAGTTTGAGCTTTGGACTATGACTCTGGAGATGGGTTTGAATTCCGGCTCAGCCATGGAAATCCACTGGGTAACCTTGGGCAAATCACATTCTCTTGACCTCAGAGGAGGGCAATGGCAAACCCACTCTGAAGAAACTTGCCAAGAAAACCCTATGATGGTTTCACCTTAGGGTCACCATAAGTCAAAATGACTCGGAGGCACACAACAACAACAAAAGATGGGAACATACACCCTCTACCTCATTTCTCCCATTGCCTGTTCCTGTTCAGAAGATTGCAGAGTGCTTTTGTATCCAGAAGCAATCTCCTAAGAACTATTTCCCATTGAAAGACATCATCAGAACATGTAGATGTTATTTTGCAAATATATATATATATTTGTAGAGTCTTGAACAAAACTAGACTAGGGGCTTCAAAGTCAAGGTTCACTTTTTGGCTAATTAGATTCTCAAGGGAAGGGAATCAGCCTTCAGTTGCTGTTCATTAAAGCTGTTGAGATCTCTCCCCTCAGCTTAGCCTTGCTTGTGATAGCTGTAGGAATTAGCCAGTACATGTCTTGTGGTCTTTCTCTGTCTGTCAACAGAGCATGCCAGCTATGTGCACACCACACATTCATATCTGATCACCTGGAAAGCTGCTCCAGTGGAAGTTGCAGAAGGTGGGTGGGCAAGACATATTATGTTGCTAAAGCCCAATGCATGAGACAGATTTTGCTGAGATGTTATGTGGGTGGTGATGTGCCATTAGGCAAAGCAAAATTATTCAAGTAGAAGAGAACTGAATATATCTTTTCCTAAACAAGCAGCATATGCCTTGTTCCATTTTGCAGTACAAAAAGCATACCCCTCAACATTTCACAGATGAAACCAGGACACATGGAGCTAAACAACCTCAGAATGTGCTCAAGATGGCAAATGTTATTAATGAGAAAGAACAGTCAAGCCGGGAGTGGCTGCTGTAGTTTGCTTTTGCCTGAAAAGGACAAGATTCTTCCCCCTTCTCTTCTCCTTGCTGAGTTAATGAAGTGCCAACTACTTTTTCACTTTGAACTCAGTTTGCAGAGAAAGCTGCTGCACAAAGATGAGGGGTTTGGTTTAAAGAAAGTTTTTTTTAAAAAAAAAAAATAATTAATAAAAAGTCTCAGAATTAACCCAAACTAGAGGAGCAAATATAGCAATTCAAGTCACAAGTACTTTGATAACCAATTGTCCAACCAGGTGGCCATGTTAGAAAAGGCCACAAAATGGAAGGACTGTAGGTTAATGGTAAAACATGTGCTTTGTATACAAAAGTTGCTGTTGTTGTGTGCCTTCAAGTTGTTTCTGACTTATGGTTACCCTAAGGCAAGGTTTTCTTGGCAAGTTTCTTCAGAGGGGGTGGCACAGGCCATTCCCTGAGGCTGAGAGAGTATGACTTGCCCAAGGCCATCCAGTGAGTTTCCATGGTTTCGAACCCTGGTCTCTAGAGTTCTAGTCCAACACTCAAACCACTACGCTATATTAGCTCTCAGTGTAGATCCTAGGTTAAATTCTTGGCATCTCCAGTTTAAAAGTTATTAGGCAGTAGATCTTATGAAAGACCTCGACCTTTGATTCAGGAGAGCTGAAGCCAGAGAGTAGAAATACTTGTCTAGCTTGACAAACAGCCTTGGCCTAAGGCTACATTATATAGTGAGAATTTGTTCCCATTTTACTGTGGATAACACTATCACTGCAGATTTGGTTTAAGTAATATCTTGAGGTCCCTAAGATCTTCATATAGTAATTCCAGATCAAACTTTTGGACTTCATAAAAGGATGCTAAAAAATTGGAATATTCTGCTGCATTCCAAACACATTTTATTCCATTTGTTTGTTTGTATTCATTTACTTAAAGAGAGCTCTCTAGCATTTTTCTGCATAAATTCACAAAATTATGTATGAAAGCAACCTGATAA